TTGTTGGAACTGAACTGAACAGAACTGCACCCTTCCCTTAAGGGAATTCGGATGTCGTTTTTAACGCGATAATTTCTGATTTCTTACTTGAATATCTCAATGGATCACCTCTGAGTTTCACATGTACACGTTTCTTTTCACATGGTGAAGGATACAAAGTGACCGATACGCTCAACGAATACCGATTGGATTACAGCTGACCAGTCACGTGACCTCGGTGATAAGATACTGGTCTTTTATTGATGTTTTGTTTTCATGTGAATCAAGGTAGTATGCAGGTCGAGGCAGATCAATGACACAGGTTTAACTGCCTTCTCGTTCACTATTTACTGCTCTTGTTTAACAAAATGTTAACACCCGTGTAATGTTTTTCTGTGATCCTGATACGAGTTGTTTTTATTACACCACGTTGTTGAGGTAGTTAGTCTGTTTGAAAACAGACCTGATTGATCATGATTTGCCTGAAAATATTGTTTACAGCATGAAACGACTGATTGTCTGAGGCCTATTCTACTCGCCCCTCCCATTGTTTGTCGAATCATCATATTTATGTCGTTACGTAAAAACAAGTAGATGCACGATAAATAATCCTCTACTGGAGGAATCATTTTATAAAGTGTTTTTAATTTCAAAAATTCGTCTTTGACTTTTTCGTCGGTATCAAGGGTTTCTGTAGATTCTAAAGGCAACCGGGTACTGGAAAATTAAAATGATCTATTTCTCACTGCGTTGGTTCGTGCTACTTAGTGTGTCGTTTCGCTCTGGTTATGATGGCCTGATGGGTTTTTGCTAAGCTATTTATTGATTTATTCTTCTTATCGCAAGTTGCACGCACTAGTGTTGCTAGTTCCTAGACAGTTCCCGAAGTTTTTCCTTTTTGTCTTGCAATCTATTCATTTCACTCTTCTGCAAACTTTGGCGTGACACAAGATGTACCGATTTTTGTTGTCTGTACGCTTCTTTTGTTCTCTGCCCTGTTTTGTGACACCTGACTTATTATGAGTACTGATGATCTGTATAAAGTATTTTCTTATTACCTGGACTGAATTTCTTTATTTTTCTCTGTCTATTATTATCTCATAGTTCATGCCTGTCTGAGTCTTCAGTATGTGCGAAACAGATCATAGTACATCAGTCCTCATAAAAAAGAGACCAGCCCATGATTTACTCGCAGACGGGACACAACCTAGTCTTTAAGGTCAAAGCAGCCAGACTTTCTTTCTGGTTTAGCAACCGTAACATGTGACTAACCAAAGCGGAACCCGCGATGCGGCTGTATACTGTGAAACGAACAGCAATACGGTGAGCGCTTGAATTTGGTCCCCACGACCATATGCTCTTTGAACAGGGTCAAAAGTCCGAGGTGCCCAATACACCGCAATGTCCAATTAAATCAGTGACTACTGCCAGAAACAGGAAGGTGATGTTTTGTTCTTACACCTCTCCTTACTTGGTCTGAAATCGGTATTTTTCAACAACTCGTCCAGGTGAATTGTCGCTAGTTCACCAATTTGAATATAGCACCGGATGTTGGCTGTTTGCCGGACAGAATAGTTTGGTTGCAAACAGCTTAACATCATTTTTCTTTCGTTTGTTCAATACATGATATTTTTCGTTTTTCGCAATGTTCTCTTTACGACTTACGTTGCATAAAGGGGTTCACTTTGGCTTCTTTAAGGAGATGGAGCCATCCCTCTGTCAATAACTTACTCGCAGCACCCATTATGTGACGCAATACTATATTTTTCTTTTCTTTTTGTTTCCCTCGTGCAATCTAATATCTCCCGAGTATCAAGTTCACTCATAATTCTCTCACTCCTGATGTTCTTAAAATACACAGCATCAGAAAACATAACGGCTCCTCGGATTCAGTCTACAGCAGGATCTGGCAGTTTATCTACTATGTTGCACAAAATCATCCGTCTCGAGGGTGCCGATGTTCTGTGGGATTTATGGGACAGTACACCAAAACATGAGGGTTCGCGCCTTGGTCGACGCGGAAGTCGGACAGCACTGACTGGAGCTAGCACATCTGATTCAGATGGAGACAGCCTACGAGAATCGGCTCGCATTGGGCGTGCATTTAATGAAGTCGAGGAAGGAGAACCGGAAGTATGTAAAGTTTTATTTTTACTGGAAAACCCGTGAGCTTCATCGCGGTTGTTTAAATTCTTATATCTTAGTCCCGGTCATATCGTTCCTAGGACTCCGCTCTTTCTTAACCTGATACTCGCCAAATAAATTATAAACACGGATATATCAGATATCAATTTTAACACTACCTTATCTATCTGAGGTATAAGGATCCGATATGTACATGAAAGAACAGAATGTGTACTTATGGCCTACGTTGTATTGTTCAAATTGTTGTTTGGCAGACTTGAAGTTTGTATGTCGATTGTGAAAAGTTCAGTAGCCTCGGTGGGATTCGAACNTGGACGCCGCCTACGCTTTGTACGCGCATGCTCTGCCAGCTGAGCTACGAGGCCACACTGATAGCACTGATCTTTTCACATTCGAATTTACCCATCCAACTTACAGAGGCATGTGGCATGTTTGCATGTAAGCTGACTGCCCCGACAGGTTTTCCTTAAAATTCACCGGAGTCCACCGAATGAGCTTCTAAGACACGGTTAATTGTTCAAGTTGTTGTTTGGCATATTTGAAGTTTGTATGTCGATTGTTCAACTTTGTGTTGTCTACCTTGATCGTGAGGTCATATCTCAAGGAGCTTTTATATGTTGATCTCCTTCATTGTTCCTGTTCAGCATCCTTGACATGCAGTCAGACTACTCAAGCTAATTGATTTTTAAGTCTTTTTAAATTATGAAGACATAGTTACAGGAAACCGTTAGTGGATCTAGTATTTACTTTGTCATAACAGAGTTAATCGGGCAACTAAAAAGTAAGTTCACTTCAAATTTAGTGAAATCCAATCGGTATGGATGCAGAATCATTGAAGACAAGTGTTTTCGGGACGGATTTTCACGTGTGAGCTCTGCGGTGTATTTGCTTCTCTGATTATGAAAAAGGCCTGGGTACTGTAGCACGATTCTGGAAGTGCCTGCAAACCGTAATCATCGGTTCATTTCTATTGGAATCATTTGCATTTGGTGGGGTCTCTAAAAAGTATCATTTATAATTTACACAGGTGATCGTAGTCCCTCACATGAACTTGGTTTTGCCGACACAGTTATCTGGACCAACAGTTTTCCCTCTTTTGCTCCGATTCTCGTGCTAACTGATGGACAAAATCCCTTAAACAAAGAAATGATAGTCTGTTGTCGGTCGCCTCCATCTGCACGCAAGTTGTCACTTGATCGCTGTGGCACGTGACATGCATGCAGCGGGTTCACGTGCTTCAGTTCACAATCATTCACCATACTCTTCTGTTAGCTCGTGAGTACTAAGCTGATCGACTTTATGAAAGTATTGGTTGCATAGGTCAAAGTGTTCAACTGGTGGTTTGCGATAGGTATGCTTATTTCACAGTGGTATAATTTATGGCCTGAAACATCTTAGCCAGCCATTTGTATCGGTGGGGGTCGGGCCTATCGATTGACGGAATCCTGACTTTGGTAGGCGAACAAAATAAGTTTACTGATGAAATCCTTGCTACTACATGCGCTGAACTGATTACTAAAGCCACGCCGGGGACATTGTTTTGAAAATTTTGTGAAAATGAATCCAAATTTTCTTTTCAGTATGTGATCACGGAAGTCGGATCCACAGAGTGCCTGTGCTTATTCTATCATATTCACTATGTGTAAAGATCCAGCTGCACAACGAAACGCAGGGGTTCATGCATCGTCAGAAACCTGTCATATTATTTTGGGTGTGTGTGTGTGTACATCATACTTTGGGATATCTTTAAGCACTGCTTCACAGAGTAGGTAGCAAATCACACCTAAATGCAGACTGGGTCACGAATAAGAAAATCTGTTGAACAGTGAAATAAGTGAAGTTTAGGTAAATAATATGGGGCATATTAAGAATATAATGATGTCTTGATATTAGTTCCGATTAGATTGATTTGGTCAATACGTTTGCTGGTGTGTAAAAATGAAAGCCGCACATCCACGACGAGTTTAAGTAATTGTCACTGTTGATTCAAGTCGCTCGGCGCAATCTCCGACAGGTTCCTGAAAAATGTTCGGTACTAAACATCTCACTGATAATAAAACGCGAGAATTTATTTTTGATTCAGGGACTGCAGTGGGACAAGTGTGGTGTGATTTTTTAATTAGATGTTTTTGACTCAAAATTTTGTCTAATCTGAATTACCAAACATACGAATTCGGGATACTTGGTCCATGTTTGTGTTCTACTCATGGCGTCATGAGTTTACTCGCGCAATATACTCTTCTGAGGCTCCTTATGGCTCCCAAATTGTCCTATAATGCTCCGAAGCTGTTATTTTCGCTTTCTTGATCATGGATATCCATATTGCTTCTTAATAAAACCAATGGGTATTGTTTTTTCGTAGTCCATTGGTTATGTAGCGTTTTTTTTAGCCACACAGTATGCACAACAGTTAATTACAAAAGATGTTCTTTAGTTTTTTATTCCAAATGATTTTTTTATCTAGGCCCCCATACCTGGTCCAACGGAAGAAAACATAGTTGCCTCGGCCAAGTTGCTCACACTTCCAGGTGATGAGCACACTGCACGTGTAAGTGTACGATGCCCCTTGTTCGCCTTAGCCGCTCAATCGACCATCGGTGAAACCGGGAATTGTGCTGATGATACCAGTCCAGACCCCAATCCCTCATCCTCAGCTCCCGATCCGTGGTCTTCATTCGAACTACGAGTGCATTTGGACGTGGGTTCGATTGTGGCGTGTGCTTGCCCCAGCCAGTTCTATTGGCTTCAGTTAACTGTGGGTCAACTGAATCATATATGGCAAATGTATCAGAACATCACATTGACTCGAACAACTTCACCCCTGCCCGAAAACAATCCCACGGATGGGACTTATCGTTCCACGGGTGTTGTAAATCCGAGTGACGCGCGATGGTTTCCTGCTTCCAATCAGGTATGCTTGTTTTCTCACTTTTGTCTAGTTCCAGTTAGCCAGTGATTTGCTCATTGTTTGACCATTATCAGTCCCAGCTTAACACTGGTTCGTGCACTGCGAACTTTCACACTCAACCTCATATCATTTTTACATGCTCCAGTAAGCAACCGTGTGTCATGTTTGTATTTTTCTTCAACAAATCATTCGACTAGACCGTGTTTAGAAAAAAAGTCGTGGAATATCGTTGATAAGAGCGAGAAAAAGAACGAACGTGATCGTGAAATCCGTGCGAAGCCTAATGGTGTAGAGTTTCTCAACCTGTGAACAATAACCCTAGGCATATCAAGAATACACGGTAAGGTAAGTGTTTGTTCTCCGAATTTCCACTCGTACACTTGATCAGACGTTGAATCCCATGCAGGCATGCGTGCGGGGGCGCATCTATGTCAAGTGGAACCAGGTATGATACCGTCCTACGTTCCCGGAAACATGTTCTGGTGTCTGTATTAAACTGGCCGACATTCTCGTATGTGACGAAACGCCTCTTATAATCTCTGCTTCTGAAGCCCCAATGGCTACCTTCACATGGCTGTTTACCCACCAAAGCCAGAGGGGGAAAAGCCAACATCTAAGGCAATGTTCCGGTCGACAGTTCCACTGTGGGAGCTAGTGAAAAATCATAATTCCGAACCAACCAACCAGAGGAGTAAGAACCACAAAAACACCCTCTGACAGCGGTTACCGGTTTGATTGAATATCGTGGTCTATTTGGCACCTCGAAACTTTGACTCTTTTCAAAAGACGTATGATCCAAGGAACTGGATTCTAGCCCTCAATATATTAGTTTTTTTCCACAGTGCATCGCTACATTGCAGGTCCAGCTTTCATTATTCACAAGCTCCTGTTCTGATTCCCGCAAGAGATTTCAGCTGCTTTGACCTGAGCGACCTGACGTGGTTCCGTCAACGAGCATATCATGAGCTGATTTCCTCGGTTTAGAAATGCTTGCACCGTGATATGTTGAGCACAAACTGTGGACTCGGACAAATAACCATTGCAATATAATATACCACCAAGTGAAATAAGATTGTTGAGGCATTGTTGCTCTTTCTCCCTGTCATGACAATCATTCAGTTTCAGTTTGTACACTTTCGTACGCCATTGCTGGTGGTTTGTGTGTTGATTTTGAAGATCGTCCGTTTGAATCCGATGGTTCTGCATGAAAAGCTCTATTTGAAGTGCCTCAGTATTGATGCGTGTTTACATCAATTAAGAGTTACCTAGTCGATGATCTCGAATGTTATATTGATTCCTATGTAATTTCATGTGGTCGACCTCCAAGGTTACACTGGTTGAGACATGTGTTGCTCATGTCACTAAGGGCCTTGCTTGTTGAGGCATGCAGCGGATGGATAAAGTTCAAAGGTGGTCAAATTAAGACCTGGCATGAAGGTATGAAAACCCTTACCGGGAGTCTCTGTCGTGTAGGTTACATTAGGCTCCCTGGACGGGGGCCGCAATACCATGGTAACCAGTGGTTAGAGACACTCAGTGATACGGATGAGTGTCGCAGACAGTGGGGCTCATGCATCTTTTACTCGTTATTCTTGCAACCGCAGTTTGTATGAATTCCCTCTATTCCCTTTGATTCTATTCTCAACATTCCGATCTTCATTTCGCTCTTTTATCTAAGTGGGCGACCAAAAGACAGCAACCAAAACCGGCACGCGGAAGTGCATTGGTAATGGTTGCTTGAACTGAACTGAATATCTGCAATGTTTGGAAGATAGCTTTGGATATCCTCTCTGATCCATGCCGATTATAATAGCGTGGATGGTGTTGTTTCTCTAGGATCTATAATCACGGAATATCACTCAACGTTTAACTAGTACGGAGACGAACGTGGGGTGATTAGTGTGTTCAGATCTCTGAGCCTCACGACACNGCACATCTGGAAACTGACTTCCGAAATTTCATCCGATCCACCAGATGATCGAATGTGTTATACACACGGTTGTATGCCGGACAGGCCGAAAGAAGTGGAGCATATTGCGTAGGTATGCATATTCGAATGTATGAGCTTACTCTAGTCGCGACTCATGGGCCCAACAAGTTCACTTCGATCATCAAATGGGAGATGATCTGTTTGCGGCCATTTAGCTTCTAGTGGTATAATAACCGGAACTAAAACAAAACAGGAAGACTTGAGTTGCATCGGTAACACTTACATTGCATGCCTTCCTCGGCTCTGAAGCTTGTGAATTTAAGGTCACGCCTATCGGGAAAACAAGAACC